TTGTTAATTTTCATACATATGTTACAAGTAATGTAACTTATTATCGATGAAAACCAAATAATATAATAGAATAGATTTGTATTAAAGATATTTTTATTTCAAATATCGAAAGTGTTATTAAAATAAAGAATTATCTCTAATTGAAAATTACGTGAATTCAAAGGAAACACTTAATATGATTGAAGTGTTTGACATCAACAGATTTAAATATCCTTTTAATGATTTTCAATATGTTTTTACTATTGAATTTAGAATAATATACTGTTAAAAGTGTATCTCTTAAATATTTAGTATACATTAAATTGTATTTATTGATCTGTGAATAAATTAATGACGAATTTACACGAATTTTCCATTCATTTTATGAATTAATGTTTTTGAGTTCAAATAAAGGTTTAATGCGGTTTAATACTAGGAAACTCATACTGTAATGGATATTACCGGTTTAGTACCGAAATCAGCGCATTTTGAATGTAATGCAAATGTTTACAATGAATTGGGAATCCCACAAACGCTTGGTATTGACTTTGAGCCGAAAGGCAATTTCACATTTACCTGGGCTTTGGCCGTAAGTATTCATTTATTTTTGTTTAGACTACTATTAATATGAACCCAAACACAGGTGGATGACCAAAACGAACATGTCTTGTGCGCCAACCACTTCTTTTATATCAAGGAACTCATTAAACGAACACATTATAGGTATTAAAATCCACAATTAATTAAATGATAATTCATTTCTACTCTTATAGTGCAATCCCAGTGGCCATAAATCACACGAGATTTTGGATAATTAACTCAATTAATCAAACTTTTGATTCAACTCTCAGTTATATTCAATCAAATGTCAGACAATATAATAAAAGCAATTCTAAACAATTATAAATAAATTTTCATTTGACAGGAAGTGGACATAAGTGTAGATATGTTTCCGATTCACGATTCGTTTCTAACGGTTATGGATGTAATTTACTCGGAAATGGATACACAGATGGCTATAATGGGAGGCATATACGCGACCACGAAATCCAATTCCTTGTTTGGCGTCATTCATATATTTCACACAGAAGTCAAACTCATTAATAATGCATTTCTAAGAATTGTTTCTAAAATATATTACTTTCAGATTTGGATTTTTATTTCCTTAATAATAATTCTTTCAAGTCTTATATTGACTCTAAACGTACTTTTATTTCTGGAGTTAATTACTTCGTGAGTATTTGTATTTTTAACAATTAATTATTAAATTCAATGCAATTACAGACAAGATTTAAACTATAATAAAATACCGACATTTGGTCATCAGTTATGGATTGTAATCAACGCAATGTTTATGCAATGTTTGTTTATTTTGTATTTTAAACTATTATCATAAAATTAATTCTTCCTCAAAGCCTTTAATTTCAGATATCTATCGCGAATGGATTACTCCATATTAATAGCAGTCTTACTATTCTTCAAAGTTTGTATAATAACTCTATTTTCGTCTCAAATTCTGTGCATAACTATAGAGAATCCGTTTTCTGTGATCGATTCCGTCGAAGAATTGGCCGCAAAACCAGAATTAATTCCTATGCTATTCAGTGCTGAGGCAGATATTGAAAGTCTAAAAGTAATTCAGTGTTTATTAATTTATTTTATACAAGAATTATGAATATTTGCAGAATATTCCGGAAGTCAGTAATGCAGTGAACAAAGCAAATGAAAACTATTTGGGATATGATTTCGAGAAGTTGTTTGAAGGCATTAATCAACACATCAATGATATAAGTGTTTTAAAAACACACGTATTATTGGCCTCTAAATCGGATCTTCAATTCATTCGTGATATAAATATAGTTAAATTTAAGAAAATAACTCATATATCAAAACAATTATACGGCAATCGAATCACTGGTCACGTGGTTAACAGAAATGTCGACAAATTTGTTGTCAATACTTTCAAACAAATGTAAGCAATGATAAAAATGCAATAATTCCTATAATGAACACCATTTCAGTGTATCTGCGAGTCGAGAGATGGGATTTTTGAACAAATGGCTCGAAGCGGGTCTTCAGCAAGCGTTTGAAGCCTTTGTCAACAAATCATTTGTTTTTGAGGATCAAGAACCCAATCCTTATACTATGAATTTGGATGAATTCAAAATAGCCCTGGGTCCTTACTTATTAGGAATTCTCGGGGCTTTGGTTCGACTTTTTTGGGAGAATCTGAGTCCTTATGACGAAGAGGTGCAACAAATGCATAAAAATGAGTTCAATAATGAAAAGCGTCGGAAAAAAGTGTTTAATTTTGATAAACAGGAATACTTAGTGGCCTTAGACTTGTCCCAAACTACCCCTCCTTTCTATGTATTGACGCAAAAATTTCGCAATAAATTCAAACAAAATGTAATATAAATTCTCAATTATTTGTTTTCAAATAAACTTTTGCATCGTTTGAATATAATATTCATGAATTACATTTTTTATTTCATTTAAATTTAATATTTATATTATTCCAATGTATTCATACTTAGTTTTATTACATAAAGATATTTTTTGATTTGCAAATTAATTAATCTAAGGAGTTGGATCAAGTCAAAATAGTGCTGGGTCCTTATATATTAGCAATTCTGTTTGTCGACTATTTTGGCAGAATTTAAGCACTTATGACAAAAGGATGCAAAAAATGTATAGAAATGAGTGTCGTTTGAATCAAAAGCGTAGGAAAAGTCGTTAGTTTTGAAAAAGAGAAATATTTATTACCCGTCCATACGATTCCTCAATTATTAAGCAAAATGTTTCGTAATTTTTAAATTTATTTTCAACAATTATTTTCTATAATAATTTATACAATTATTTGAACACTTATAGCACTTATCAATATGAATATAATTTAGTAGTTTATTATTTCTATTCAATTAAAGTGTTATACAGTAGTAATAAATTATTATATATTATTACTAATAATTTATATTCACTAATTTTGTTATTATTTAATTATTATTGTATCGATATATATATATAAATTTAATTAAAAATTTTAATAGTAATCGAAAACACTTAGTCGAATTAAATGTCTATTCATTTAGTAATTAATATGTAATATCATCTAAAAGTTCATACATTATGTAACACTCGCTAATATTGTTTACCAATAATAATATGCATAGAAATCCAATTATATTATAAATTCAATATTAATAATAAACGAATTTTCAATAATTTATATATTTTATTATTCTAATGAAACAGTTAGTGTTAATAACAATAACTTAATCTTTAGTTTAATTTTTAAAAGTTAATCTTTTAATAATCCATTCATTTATAAAATGGATGGATTTGTACCAAAGTCAGCGAACTTTGAATGTGTTTTCGATTTATTAGACGACAAGAAGATAATCCCACAAAAGTTTGGCTATGATTTTGATCTGAGGGGCAATTTCACATTCACCTGGCCATTAGCTGTGAGTTATTTGCAAATGTATAATCATATTATTTTACTGACAATTGTCTTATGAATGGCCAACTCGTAAGATGGACGACCTGGAGATGAAGGTGCTCTGTGCCAGTCATCTATTTCTCATCAAAGAGTTGGTCAGAAGAACACAATACGGGTATTAAAAGGCAATTGAAAACATAGCGTATGATTAGTAATGGATGACTTTAAAGGGCAATCCCGGTGCTCATCAATCACAGCCGGTTCCTCACACTGGACGACGAGAACTTTGATCCCACTCTCGCTTACATTAAGTCTAATGTTAGACATTGAATAACATTATAAACAATAGAAATGTGAGCTTTTATTTGACAGGAAGTGGACATAAGCGCCGATAGCTTTCCACTCAATCATATGTTCCTCTCGTTTCTCAACATATTTTACTCACAAATGGACTCAACACTGGCTATAATGGGAGGCATTTATCCGTCCACTAAATCCAATCCCTTTTTCGGGATAATGAATATTTTTCACAAAGAAGTGAGGAATAAGTGGATAAATAGCCTATATATTAATGTTTCATTTATAATGATTTAGATTTGGTTTTATATTGTATTAACGATATTGACATCAACTTTAATGTTAACTATAAACATATTTATTTTCTTGAAAATTGATAAACAGTAAGTATTTATCTCGAAATAAATCAAGAGAATTAACGTTTCAAATCACAGATTAATAGGTTATAAATATGAAGTGATTGATCGCCAACTGTGGACAGTATTTAATGCAATGTTTATGCAAAGTTTGTGAAACAGTACTTTCATTTATTTGCAATTTGACTAAAAATATTATATTCTTCGTTAAAGCCTTTCATTTCAGATATTTATCTCGAATGGATTACTCCATATTAATAGCAGTCTTACTATTCTTCAAAGTTTGTATAATAACTCTATTTTCGTCTCAAATTCTGTGCATAACTATAGAGAATCCGTATTCTGTGATCGATTCCGTCGAAGAATTGGACGCAAAACCAGAATTAATTCCTATGCTATTCGCTTCTGAAGCGGATATTGAAGACATTCAAGTAATTCAAGTGTTTATATTTCAATAAATCAATTATTTTAAGAAGTCTTTTGAATTATTGATGTGACAGAACGACCGACAGCTGAGTTCTGCGGTCAACAAAACGCTGGTCAACAACAGGGAGCGATATTTGGGACATGATTTTCAGCAATTATTTGATGGCATCAATGATCTCATCACTAATATCAGTGTTTTCAAAACACACGTATTATTGGCGTCTAAAGGAGCCATTGAACACATTATTAACTTGAGTCGAGAAAAGTATGAGAAAATCACTCATCTTTCAAAACACATTTATCAAAACCGAGTTCACGGTTATGTAATCAACGCCAACGTCAATAAGCACATCGCGCAGCATTTTAAACAAATGTAAGTTTAGGTGTCAAATCTGTTTAATTAAATAACATTATTAATGAGTTTATCGTAATTCATATATCTTCAGTACTTTCTGAGTTACTTAGGATTTATTTGATTTGTAAAACAAAGTTTTATTTAATATATTGTTTTCAGTCTTTATGACAGTCGAGAATCGGGTCTACACATGAAATGGATAGAGTGTGGCATCAAACAGGCGTACGACACGTTTGTCGACAAATCATTTGTGTTTGAACTCAAAGAGAAGACAATTGCTATGATTTTGGATGAAATGAGAATAGTTTTGGGCCCTTATTTCGTTGGCATTCTTATAGCTTTCTGTGTGTTTGTGTTGGAAAATACGGACTTCTCTAACAGTAATTTGGAAGAAAGGGCTAAATTGGAGGCCAATTACGAGATGAATGAAAAACGAAGGAAACCTTTCTCTAAGTTTGAAAAGAAAATATATCTCTTATCGGATGAAAATTCTTCAATACATCTAATCATTGATAAGTATCCGTATATTAGACAAAACAAACGTTAAATAAATCACTGAAATACCAAATTTATATTCAGGATCAGCTATGAGCTCATCAATGCATAAATTTAATGAATTAATAATTTATTTAAACAATTAAATAGAACAAATAATAAACTAAAAATTAAATAAGTACAGGTTTATAAAAATTTATACAAATGCTATAAAATTTGAATAATTTGGAAAAAGTGTAAGAATAGTACTGTTGAGCGCCACTATATGTTTAATCAAGATAGTAAAACATTGATTCTCGATTCTCATGACAAATACGAATAATAAAACTAACTTGCTGTCAAACAAGATTTATAACATGTTATTATAATAAACAAAAGCAAAGAATAAGTTTATTCAACTTGCGGTCAATTTTCTAAAGCATATACTTATTAATCTCACAATTGAACCAAACATGAGCTTATCTTGGTCCAATTGTTCATTTTTATCAACTAAAGTTTGAAAAGAAAATATATCTCTTATCGGATGAAAATTCTTCAATACATCTAATCATTGATAAGTATCCGTATATTAGACAAAACAAACGTTAAATAAATCACTGAAATACCAAATTTATATTCAAGATCAGCTATGAGCTCATCAATGCATAAATTTAATGAATTAATAATTTATTTAAACAAATAATAAACTAAAAATTAAATAAATACAGGTTTATAAAAGTTTATACAAATGCTATAAAATTTGAATAATTTGGAAAAAGTGTACAAATGTAAAAGAATAGTACTGTTGAGCGCCACTATATGTTTAATCAAGATATTAAAACATTGATTCTCGATTCTCATGACAAATACAAATAATAAAAACTGCTGTCAAACAAGATTTATAACATAATAAACAAAAGCAAAGAATAAGTTTATTCAACTTGCGGTCAATTTTCTAAAGCATATACTTATTAATCTCACAATTGAACCAAACATGAGCTTATCTTGGTCCAATTGTTCATTTTTATCAACTCGCTAATTGCATACTTGGAGACAAACACTTTATACTGAGGGGGAGGACTGTATCGAAAGCAAAAGCCACTGAATTGTTGGGTATAAGAGCCGTTGTCCTCAAACACAAGCCATTCCTTGCAATTCATTTCAATCATTTGAAAGTCTCGTCGAATACAGTCTTTATCATCAAAAGTGAGGCCCCAGAGAGTGGTTGGATAGATGTGCCGGGAGTTGGGCTCCAAATGGTCTTTGAGTAGAGGTATGGGTTTCGGGATCTTGTGCTCCACGAAAACGTTTAGAAAGGCGTCATAAGTGCTGGCATTCAAGTAATACATCATTTCTTTGCCGCCGTTTGAATGGACGACAACTCTTTTGGAGACAATACGAGTGACAAAAGTGAAGGCAGACTCGCAGTAATAACGGCCGGGCTCTCCAATCACTGTCACGTTATTGTTCGGGAAATGTGAGTCCAAACTCTCGTTGATCACGTGAGCCATCTCCGAGAAAGTGGCCCTTTTGTCCACCACTTTCATGTGATAAGTGGTGTCACATCCGGGAAAGCCTCCGCCGATGTCCAGCAAACTCATGTCAAACCCCATATCCAATGCCATATCAAAGGCCTGTCGCGCCAACTCTATAGCCTTGAGGAAGGACTCACTTCCCTGACAGCCGGTGCCCACATGAAAGGCTATTCCCATTACGTTCAGTGACAGCGACTTGGCTTTCGTGAGCAAAGCGTCCACTTCTCGGATATCGGCTCCGAATTTATCGCTCAATTTCAGAGATGACTCCTTGTCCTCCACTTTGATTCGCAACACAAGCCTTGCCTTTGGATACAATTTATGCATTTTTGTCAACTCTTCCGAGTTGTCAAAAGTCATTAAATCAGTGGACACTGCCTTCGAGTACTTAATACATGAATCACTTTTACACGGATTTGATCTTTGCCGCCGTTTGAATGGACGACAACTCTTTTGGAGACAATACGAGTGACAAAAGTGAAGGCAGACTCGCAGTAATAACGGCCGGGCTCTCCAATCACTGTCACGTTATTGTTCGGGAAATGTGTGTCCAAACTCTTGTTGATCACGTGAGCCATCTCCTCAAAAGTGGCCCTTTTGTCCACCACTTTCATGTGATAAGTGGTGTCACATCCGGGAAAGCCTCCGCCGATGTCCAGCAAACTCATGTCAAACCCCATATCCAACGCCATATCAAAGGCCTGTCGCGCCAACTCTATAGCCTTGAGGAAGGACTCACTTCCCTGACAGCCGGTGCCTACATGAAAGGCTATTCCCATTACGTTCAGTGACAGAGACTTGGCTTTCGTGAGCAAAGCGTCCACTTCTCGGATATCGGCTCCGAATTTATCGCTCAATTTCAGAGACGATTCCTTGTCGTCCACTTTGATTCGTAACACAAGCCTTGCCTTTGGATACAATTTATGCATTTTTGTCAACTCTTCCGAGTTGTCAAAAGTCATTAAATCAGTGGACACTGCCTTCGAGTACTTAATACATGAATCACTTTTACACGGATTTGCAAATATTATATCCTCTGCTTTCGCACCCCTTTTCAACACTGATTTCATTTCGTGCTTTTTGATAAACATTTTAATCGTTAGTATTATTGTGTTGAACAATAAGCAGACATACCTGGCTAGCACAGTCAAATCCAGCTCCCAGTCCTATCATTATGTCTAATAAGAGTGGGAAAGGATTGGTTTTGACGGCATAATATGGTTTAACATTAGGAAGCAATTGACACCACTTTTCGTGTTTACGGATAACATCTTCAACATTAAACACATAAAACGGGTCATCATTTTCAGAGTAAACGCTCTCTCGAATAAATGTCTTAATATTTGACATAATTATTCACAATTGTATACAATTATGAAATTAATATAAGATTAATAAAACACTAATAACCTAATTTTTCCGATTCTGATGACTCTTATATTAGTAATATTGATCTTGATATTCAGGAATATGACTCTGATTATGATATTGAATTGATTTATATGTAAATCCAATGCTTTTATACATTAAAAATCAATTTCACCTAAAGTGAAACTTCATTGAAATATTTCACGAAAAATAAATTTCACTGAAAATGCCATATTATTAGTAATAAGTATTTTTTATTTGACAAAATTTATGATTTTTGTTTGATATTCAAAACATGTGCACAATTCTTAACTTAAACAACTGTTTTCTATTAATCATATTAAAAAACGTATCATTGATGTCACACTTAATTATCAAAAACAACACTTTTGTCGACATAACTGAATGATACTAATTATGGAGGAATTTCCCAATTCTTTATCAACAATTACGAAACAAATATATGATATTTAGGACAACAAATCCCATTGAATGTGTGTTTAGAGACTGAATGAGAATAAGTGCCCATATCTTCAAACATAATCCATTCGCCGACTTCCAGATCAGGCATTTCCACCGCTTTCCTCACATAATCAAAGCTGTCACATGTCGGACCCCATATAGTACTCGGGTAGACATGATTCAAATTTACATTATTACAAAACAGATACTTAGGAATCGGTAGTTTATTCTCAATAAAAACATTACAAAACGATCCATAGATGCCATCGTTTATATAGTAGTGGACAAACTTTTCTTCATTCAAAACAACTCTTTTTGAGATAATTTTCGTAAACAAAGTGAACGCAGATTCCGAATAATAACGACCCGTTTCAGCAACTATTGTCACATTGTTTTCAGGAAAATATTTGTTTAGATTTTCATTAATAACTTGTGTTATGTCTTCAAATGTGGGAATTTTGTCCACAAGTTTGTCATAATATAAGTGCTGAGAACCGGGAAAACCTCCGCCAATGTCTAACAAAGTCATTGGAAAGCCTAACTTTAGACCCAAATTGAATGCATATCTCGATAATTGAATACCCAATGCATAGGAGTATAAGTTATGGCATCCACTTCCCACATGAAATGCGATACCCATTACTTTGAACCCAAAACACTTGGCTTTTATTAGCAAATTCTCGACTTCTTGCAAATGAGCCCCGAATTTATAATTGCATTTAATATGCGATTCCTTGTCATCCACTTTAATCCTCAGCACTAGTCTTGTGGTCGCATATAATGAATGGATTTTCATTAACTCTTCCTCGCAGTCAAAGACCATTAAATCAATTCCGAGTGATTCTGAATACTTGATAAATGAGACGGTTTTGCACGGATGAGTTAGCATTAGGTTCTCGGTCTTGACACCGATTTTCATGATTGTCTCAATTTCCAACTAATAGTACATAAATTATAAATTATTGCGAAAATTAAGTCACACGAGAAATACCTGACTTATGCACTCAAAATTGAGACCCAATCCCATCAACGTCTTCAATAAGGGTTCAAATGAATTGGCTTTGAGAGCATAGTATGGCTTAACTCTTGGCATTAATTCACACCATTTGCTGTGTTTTTGAATGACGTCTTCCACGTTAAACACGTAAAACGGTTTATCTCTTTCAATGTTGATGGTGTGCTCAATGAAGTGATCAAAACTGGACATCATTTTTAAATTGTAAGACAATATGTGTTCAAATAATTGTCAAAATTGAGGACATTGTTTTAAACACTTAATCAATATTTGTTAAACACATTTACTTATTGACGTTATTGTAACCAATTAATCAAAAGCTTTTAAACATGAAATGTGTTTTTCTAAGTTGTGACACTTTTTAATGAAATGAATTTATCAGAAATACAAATAATAATAGAAATATATTTTATTAAAATACGTAATTATTTATAATAAAACTTTAAGTGGGAAATAAACATAAATGTCTATTTTACGTAATAAGGTAAACAAATAAATTATAACTTATAATTTAATAACACGAATGTATAAATAGATTTTTTATAAAGAATATTTATATAACTGCAATATTAGCAGAAAATCCATTAATTTAAATAAAAGTAAAATATTATTCTTAGAAATACTTTTCGAAATACAAATATCAATACTTTATAGCAATCTTATGTCTTTCTGTTTGTGTAAGTTTTTGTAAACAAATTTTTATTACATTTCATAAAATTGAAAACAAACTTATAAAAAGTTATATAAGTAGAGAGACTATGATTGAGGTCTAGACATACGGTATTTGTTCACACATTGTTTGTAACAAAAGTATTTGTTGCCGAATAGCGAGAAATAAAATTATTACTACCAAGGTGGTTATTATTTGCTTGATTTACATTCATGTGTAAAATAAACTCTTTTTCTTTATCCAAATTGGTCTCCAAATGCTTATAATCCGACTTTTGATCGTCGACTGTTGTCAATAGACTTCCATCGCTTATGTCCTCCACTATTGCATACAAACAAACATTATTTCCTTTCATACAAAATAAAGTCTAAACTTTGAACAAAGTTTTCAACAGTATTTTGATTCGTTAAGAAAGTAAGTCTCACTAAAAATAGATGTTGCAATCAATACACTATTTCACTCTTGACTCCAATCAATAAATGGTGTAATTAATAAATAATTAATTTGCAGTTTTATGCCATTAATTCTAAAATCAATTCCAAATAAATAGTGAAAGTATAGCCAAAGTAAATACTGTATATTTTGGTGATCATTACATCAATGCTATTTTAAATCTCCTAAATACAAAGTCTACTAAATATTTTACATTAATTCTTTATCCATGAGTTAAACAAAATCAAAGTTAATGAATAATAAATGGCAACTGACCGGCACTACTGCCACTGGAGCTGTCATATAGTTTGGGTACTTTCAAGCAATTATTTTCTCCCTTCAATTCGTGTTTTTTGGAGCCTTTGTCTGCCTTTTGTTGATTTCTTGAGTTATGAAACTGTATTAACCGGAACTCAATCGGAGGTAATGAATTCTGTACATAACAGTAAATATAAATTAATTGCTTTTTAAATTTAAATAAACTCTTGCTGCTAATGATGGAAACTTGCTTGAACACTTAAGAGACACTTGAAAAAATAGACTCAAGTTTTCAAGTTTCCATTGAAAGTCACAAGAATTTTCAAGAATTTCGTTTATTCAGAAACTCATTTTAATTAAATGTTTTTATTCACATAAGAATGAAATAGTGTTTAAAATGAATAAATAATTACTTTATCTGTGGAAGGGTAGGGAACTGGTCCACTCTGTTGTCTGTATATCTGATACTGCGATACCACGCATATTATGCCATAAAACTGTAGCATAAAAATGGCATTCATGAAATAAGTAACATTGAGATTGTGTAATTGGAAATTCTATTGTTTTGCACTTACATTGAATCCACACATAATTATATCAACAACTAATACAATCAATGTATGGCTTTCCTCTTTCTTAATTTGTTGCACACTTTTTCGATACTATATGTCAAAATACAAATAAATACAAATTATGACTATAATAAATGTGATAATAAATACATACTGTTTCGCAAAGCCATAGAATCGTATAGAGAATATCAAATAAAGTTGTCGTCAGTATTATTATAATCCACGGCAACAGCATTTGCTTACAATCCTAAAAAATTAACAATAGTTTTAGATTTACATTTGAGTATAGTTTGGGTTTGTATTCAATTTAGCCGTAAATTAGAATTATATTTAAATTTCAGATTCTTTAGTAATTTGGAAAACTTTGTAATATATTATTCCAAAGAAAATATAGATTTTTCATTGAACGCTAAATTTGTTTAAATAGAAATTATTTTTAGCAATTTATTTTTGAAATACCACAATTATCTCTCTACGGTACTACAAAAATCAAATCTGTCATTTAAAATGGTTTNTTTGTAATATATTATTCCAAAGAAAATATAGATTTTTCATTGAACGCTAAATTTGTTTAAATAGAAATTATTTTTAGCAATTTATTTTTGAAATACCACAATTATCTCTCTACGGTACTACAAAAATCAAATCTGTCATTTAAAATGGTTTTAATGTTTACGTTAATAAAGTGAATAAAATTTTAGAAAAATTAAAAAATATATAATTGAATGAGGATTCAATTTGCGATTAAATGGTTTGTTTGGTAATAATTGAGACAAATTGCTCAATAATTGCTTGAATCGATTGAAGGCACGACTAAAGTGTGTAATGAAGTAATTGTTTGGAAAGACTCACAACACTGAGGCCAACCAACAGGAATACAGAGGCGGCCACACAGAGACCCGACATCAACACAATTAAGAAACTTAATGCCAATAGACCTGTTTGTTATGGAAAGACATGTTTATAGTGTATAAGATTTGCATTCATTTGCATTGTATTTTATTTGTGAGAACTTAGTGTTTATTCAATGTCTAACTTGACTATTCGTATAACAAAACTTCTAAATTACTAATTATTATTCAGTTTACTTTACTTCGTTAGACAATCCTTTTGAACATAAAAGTTAGACATAAGAAAATAATTGAATAAAATAATTCTACTTTAATTGATTTTTTGCATTCTTATTACTACAGTATTACTATTTTATATATGAGAAATACCTAGCAAAAATATATAACAAAAATGTACTAGTAATAATTAATTAAGTTTTATATTATAAAGATATAAATACCCGGAGAATGTGTGCCCTCGTGTACATGAAAGGCACCGATGGCTACGACAATAGTATAGTATATCTGAAAATTGAAAATATAATTAAATATAAATTTTTATTTGGTCTTCAGTTTATATTTTTATTATTAAAAAATAGCTTATAATGAATAATTTTATTTTCTAATAAATTCTTTACGACATCAAAATTAATTAAGTCTTTTTGAAAATTCTAACAAAAATGTAATTTTAAAAAGCTACAAGTTAAGTTCAACATTGTTACTTATTGTTATTTCAGTTGTATCACCATTTGTGACAGTTTTTGTTATAAAAACTTTGAAACAAATCGATTTCAAGCTGCTTTTAAAATTAAACAATCATATAAACTTTATATTATCAAGTGAGTAGAAAACTGTTTTTAGCATCTTATTATTAATAATGTAAATATATGAACAAATAAATAAATAATTTATTAAATATTATATTGTTAATAGTTTTAATATTATTTATTTATCATTTTTTATCAAAGTTTTTATTATCTTCAAGAAACTTTTTTTAATTTAAAATACTTTTCATATATGGTTTATCAGAAAACTAATATAAACTAATATAGGAAAAAGAAATGTATATTCTTATATAAAGCTCAGTTTGTTTTCAATATTAGTGTAATTTATTGAAATTTCAATTTTTTGAAAAATATAATCTCTTAATCATTACAATTATAAACAAATCTCTTGTTTAAAACTTTCCAAAAATAATCATTATAATAGAAATTTTTAAACATTTTAAACTTAATATTCAGATTTAAGAATACAAAAAATTGCTCTTATTTATAACTAATAATAAAATTTATATTAAAAAATAAATAATTTTACAGTTTCTTTAATACTAGTAAATTGAATTCTAAAACTGTTAAAATAAAAATTTATAATAAACTATAATTTGCGATTTTATGAAAGTGTTATGAAATAATCATTTATTATTAGTGTTTTTATTTATTTTTTGAAACACCTGTCAGTACCTTGTCTTCATTATTTGTATAAAGGATTATTCAATTATACAATAATTGCATTCAAACAAAAAACAGAACATAAGGGAAAGGGATGCAGTGAAAGGCATTGATTGCCGTAACTGTGTTACAAGTATACGAGTGTATGGAGTGGTGGTTAAGAATTGGAGCGGAATATGAAGTATTATGGAGTGAAACATGGTTTGCCATTTAAATACAATGGACTGTAGGCACGGATTGGTTGCCTAATTCGCACACATATTAAAGCCGTTGTGAAGCTAATGACGGATTGGGACACATGTCTGCATACATGAACGCAAATGTAATTTGTTTGTAATGTTAAGTAATACCCATCATAATCACCTTTCGATCAATTGAATTCTCGAAATAATTTCTATTTTAGTACTCAATCAATACTATAAAAGTTATTGCACTTCATTCAGATTTATGTATTAATATTATACTAATAAATAACTTATTAATTCATTTATTGCTAGCAAGAGTAAATAATTATTGATTGGATTTTATTATTAAACCATGAGTTATGAAATACTGGGACTTATTCTTGAATTAATAAACATATAAATGATTATAACATTATTTAAGAGATTTATTTAAATATTTATTTTAAAATATCTGTTTTGAGTGAAAATACTGTAGTGTTTGACCGGTACTATCTTATCTCTATACACAGTATTGTTTGATTTATAACATAGAAAAGGTACATGACAAAACATGTTTAAATAACTTTATAAATTTAACATTGGAGTTACATCCGTAAAGTATAAGTAATTGTCAATTCTGTATTTCCACGTATTTTTTTTGTTGATGTCTGTCCATTAATATGAGACATAAATCGGAAATATCAATTTGTATGAAATAGATTTACCGGTACATAGTAAAAATATATCATATAAATTTAATTTAATATACCACTACTTGGAAAGTAATTAAATAAAAAAGCAAAAAATTCAAATAACCAAAATGTTAATAATCAGATATATTATATAATTATAATGCATTGAAATTATGAAATAAATCTAATAAATACTCATAACTGAGAGAATAATACAAATAATAAGAATTTTATTGTAAAATAATAGTATAATACAAAACAAAACAATGAAATGCAATAAAAGATAGAAAATTTATTAAAACAAATATATTAAAACAAGTTTTCATTATTAATTTGATAACAAAAATGGTTCATGTCTTTCCATATGAATAATAAAAATATTAAGATTGTTTTTATTAATTGAATTACATTTTCATAGTACTATTGGTTTGAAAACAAATTGAATTAATAATAAAAATTCAATTTATTATACAAAATAAAACTCATGTCTTGAGAGAGTTGTAGTCGAGTCTTGTTTCATAAATCAATCGCTTATATCACTAGAAAAATGTAATACTTTTGGTTTATATTATTGTTTGGTTTTCTTACAATTATTTTGGCATTCATTGAAGCAAACTATTAATCACTTCCCTTATGATCAAAATCAAAACGAAAATTTGAAACATTTTATATTTGGTTAACATATCATAACTATTACGTACAGTATATTATTGATTGTACAAAAAGATTTTTTGTTATTTTTAGTAAATTCTATACTTATAATTGTCTTAAGGTTACACAAAAATAGTTTAATTGCTGTTTAGACTTATGTTCACTTTTTAAAATCTGCTTAAAATTTTTTGTGTAATATTTCAAGTGTTTCCTATGGAGCTATAATTGATAGTTTTTACGACAATTTTATAAATAGCACATTTATGCATACAATAGAGTCTATTGAATGGAGTGTATTATATGCCTTACAGTGTGTATGCATTCAAATTGAACGTCTATTAACTTTAAAGTAAATGTTTCTTTTATTTGATTAGTTTTGCAACAAAACACTTAATTTAAATCTAGAACTAAAACAAATATATTTCAATAAAGAAACTCGGTTATTATTTTGTAAATGACATACAGTATAAAGAATATACAAAAATTTTAAAGTTCATATTACAGTAAATGTTTAAATATCTACTGAAAGGATATGTCATTAGTGAGACAAGAATTTAATTAAAATTTCCAGTCCATTTAATTACATAAAATTGTTAAATGTTAAAATCTTTTAATGTTTTATTTTTTTTGTTTAAATGTGTTTTAAATCTCTATTTATATAAAATTATAAATTTTTGTATAATAAATGATTAATCACAATAAAGACATTAAACCTCGTGTGGATAAACTTCAAGTGGTTTTACTATTTTCATAGCAATATAAATACTGTTATAGACATAAATTTTTATAAAAATCAAATGATAAATAAAACATTGCAATGAAATTATAATCAGTTAATTAAACTATGGATTATTTGAATTATTTATTATTATTAATTATAAAACTGTATATTCTGTAGAACTTAAATATTGTCAAAATGTTTGAATTGAAAATAAACGTTAAACAACAAAGATCAAATATGACTTTTAGAGTCTAAACCTTATAAACAGAATATTATATTTCACAACACGTTAACAAAATATTAAGTTTAGAGATTTCTTGTTGATATTTTGTAATATAAAATATTTGCATTCAAAACATGTTCTCTCGTATGGAATAATGTTTGTAAATAATAAAAGTCGGAAACATTATTAAATATTATATAAAAAATTCTTGAAAAATTCTTTATATTCTCGAAATAATATTTAAAAATACAAATAAATTTTTATTTTTAATCTATATTTGAGACTCTTAGTCACTTTTTATATGAATACTCTGAATATAAATAAGATAAATAACTAAATATAGTAAATGTTGGCCACAGGGATAATGATTACACGAGTTAATATAAGCTAACATAATACCCCACAAGCAAACTGTACTCTAGGCTTAACAATTACTTTGAATACAAAACCAACAGAGAATAATACAAATAATAAGAATTTTATTGTAAAATAATAGTATAATACAAAACAAAACAATGAAATGCAATAAAAGATAGAAAATTTATTAAAACAAATATATTAAAACAAGTTTTCATTATTAATTAGATAACAAAAATGGTTCATGTCTTTCCATATGAATAATAAAAATATGAAAATTGTTTTTATTAATTGAATTACATTTTCATAGTACTATTGGTTTGAAAGCAAATTCAATTAATAAGAAAAATTCAATTTATTATACAAAATAAAATCCATGTCTTGAGAGAGTTGTAGTCGAGTCTTGTTTCATAAATCAATCGCTTATATCACTAGAAAAATGTAATACTTTTGGTTTATATTATTGTTTGCTTTTCTTACAATTATTTTGGCATTCATTGAAGCAAACTATTAATCACTTCTCTTATGATCAAAATCAAAACGAAAATTTGAAACATTTTATATTTAGTAAACATATCATAACTATTACGTACAGTATATTATTGATTGTACAAAAAGATTTTTTGTTATTTTTAGTAAATTCTATACTTATAATTGTCTTAAGGTTACACAAAAATAGTTTAATTGCTGTTTAGACTTATGTTAAGTTATGTTCACTTTTTAAAATCTGCTTCAAATTTTTTGTGTAATATTTCAAGTGTTTCCTACGGAGCTATAATTGATAGTTTTTACGACAATTTTATAAATAGCACATTTATGCATACAATAGAGTCTATTGAATGGAGTGTATTATATGCCTTACATTGTGTATGCATTCAAATTCAACGTCTATTAACTTTAAAGTAAATGTTTCTTTTATTTGATTAGTTTTGCAACAAAACACTTAATTTAAATCTAGAACTAAAACAAATATATTTCAATAAAGAAACTCGGTTATCATTTTGTAAATGACATACAGTATAAAGAATATACAAAAATTTTAAAGTTCATATTACAGTCAATGTTTAAATATCTACTGAAAGGATATGTCATTAGTGAGACAAGAATTTAATTAAAATTTCCAGTCCATTTAATTACATAAAATTGTTAAATGTTAAAATCTTTTAATGTTTTATTTGTTGTTTAAATGTGTTTTAAATCTTTATTTATATAAAATTATAAATTTTTCACAATAAAGACATTAAACCTCGTGCGGATAAACTTCAAGTGGTTTTACTATTTTCATAGCAATATAAATACGGTAATAGACATAAATTTTTATAAAAATAAAATTTATAAATAAAACATTGCAACGAAATTATAATCAGTTAATTAAACTATGGATTATTTGAATGATTTATTATTATTAATTATAAAACTGTATATTCTGTAGAACTTAAATATTGTCAAAATGTTTGAATTCAAAATAAACGTTAAACAACAAAGATCAAATATGACTTTTAGAGTCTAAACCTTATAAACAGAATATTATATTTCACAACACGTTAAGAAAATATTAAAGTTTAGAGATTTCTTGTTGATATTTTGTAATATAAAATATTTGCATTCAAAACATGTTCTCTCGTATGGAATAATGTTTGTAAATAATAAAAGTCGCAAACATTATTAAATATTATATAAAAAATTCTTGAAAAATTCTTTATATTCTCGAAATAATATTTAAATTTAATACAAATAAATTATTATTTTTAAATCTATATTTGAGTAACTTTTTATATTAATACTCTGAATATAAATAAGATGAATAACTAAATATAGTAAATGTTGGCCACAGGGATAATGATTACACGAGTTAATATAAGCTAACATAATACCCCACAAGCAAACTGTACTCTAGGCTTAACAATTACTTTGAATACAAAACCAACAGAAATAACTAAATATAGTAAATGTTGGCCACAGGGATAATGATTACACGAGTTAATATAAGCTAACATAATACCCCACAAGCAAACTGTACTCTAGGCTTAACAATTACTTTGAATACAAAACCAACAGTTTTTGAACATTCAACTAATTTAATCAAAATT